GCTATTTGTGTATCCGCCCGAGGAAAGGCAGCCGGTCGGTCGGGGACAGAGCTGGGACGAGGGATCAGATGCCAGCTCCTCTTCTGTTGGGAAGGTGAGGGGCCGACATGCCTTCCGGAACGATCCTGAACACCATGCTCACTTAACTTTCCTTTCCTTGGAGTCTGCTCCCCTTCCAGAAACCTCTCTGGGTAACTCATCCCGCGTCCCAATGCCCTCTCTGGCTACGCGAGGTGTCCCAGGAGCTCACCCCACAGTCCCGCTCCCCCAAGCAGGAGTCGGCCCCTCACTCAGTCACCACCCTCCATGGCAGCATGGTGACTCTGCTGCTGCCCCCGCCTTCACCCCCCCTCCCCACCCGCACAGTCTCTCAGGGCCTCACTGCAGCTCCAGGCCTCACCCGCAAGCCACCCAGATGGTCCCTGCCCACCTCCCCCCACTCGCCGCAGACCTGTTCTTGGCTTAGAGGGGCTTCCTTTGGCTCAGAATTCAATGTCATGTCCTGACTCTTTTGGTTCCAGAACAAGCTTTGGCCCTGGGCCTAGGACAGCAGGTCACACGCCTCCTGAGAGCACACAGGAACGGGCCCTTCCCATGAGATGTATGAAAACTCGATTGCAAAGGTAATCCTGTTTTGTTCTGTCACACTGGCAAGCGAGGGCACGCTCATGGGAGGGAGGGCCCGTCCAGCCCCAGGAGGCAGCTCAGCACCAGGCCCCCCTTCTCCCATGGGTCTTCCAAACCAGGGCCCACGTCTTCTCTCTTGTTCCTTCTACCTAGTGTGTAACATACACACACTTACACATGCACACACAGTATGTGCACACGAGCACCAATACACACATATGCGCATGTTTGCACACATCACACACGCACAGGGTCCTAACACAGGGTTCCATCCAGCCTGAGGCTCGGGAGATTGTATTGACTTTAGAATCCTTGAATTCTAGAAAAAGGCATTAATAAGTGCCAGGGTCAAGTCCACCTAGCATCAGGCCTGTCCGTGGAGTGATGGGAAGCCCACCTCTCCCCTCTCACTTTGGTGAGCCCGAAGTTCCACTGTTCGAGATTTATTTCTTTTGACCTCCAAGGTCACTCGGTCTTCAGAGGTCCCTTCTCCCCCAGTAAATCATAAGTAGCTGGGGAAGGAACTGCTATGGGCCCCCAGCACCAGTCTCGGCCCTGGATCCGTTTTTTAAGTAGGGAGGGAGCACGGCCCCGGGGAAGGGGACCCAGAAAAGACCTGCAAAGAGAAGGGTGGCCCAAGGCACAAGGCAAACGGGCAACACAGGATCACGCCCAGCCTGCCCGGGCTGCAGAAAACACGAGAAATCTCACTCACGCACGCAGCAGGTGTGGACCAAGAGCTTACCACATTCCAGGGGCCATGCCGGGCACTGGGGTTACCGTGACGAGCCAAACCGGAGATGGCCCCTGCCTCCACAGAGCTTCTGGTTCACCGGCAGAAGGGTGGGGAGAAGCCGACCCCAAAAAATCACGCTGATGAATATGTCATTGCAAACCCAGATGAGCACACGTGCTTGAGGAGGGCTCTGTGAGAATGGCACCAAGGAGCCAACCTAGACTCAGGAAGTCTTTCCGAGGAAGTCATGCTCGATCCTAAAGGAGAATTAACTCGGAAAACAGAAGAGCACGCGATCCAGGCAGAGGGCACCGCGCGCGCCAAGGCCCTGGGGTGGAAAGGACCCACCTAGCGCCGCCATGACGTGTGAACATTGACCTTCGGTAAACTCTGAACCTGGAGGAAAATGTTCCCTTCTAAAAATGAGTTTCCTTTTCCCTTCCCCTTCCACTTACCCCTGCACTTAAATCAATACCGGGGCGACACAGAGAAGGTGAGCTATTCAGGAGAAAGCCTTAAAAAAAAAAACACAAAAGTTACAGACAGCAGCTATGACAGACATTTCCTGTTTGGTGTCTCTCACCACAGACTTTCTTAGCCAAATAAATTAGCACAAGAAAACATTTTGGAGAAGGGTGTGGAAGAAACACGGGCTGGAAAACCAAGAAAAATATCTCATCTGCTTTGCAGAGAAGAACACGAGAGTGAGGCAGGGGCCAGAACCGCCCACTGGAGGGGCTAAAGGACCCCCCCACACCCCACCAACATCCTGAGCTCAGTCCGGAGGAAGCTGAGGCCCGGAGGGGGCTGGGATCCAGCCAACAGCAGGGGGGACTTGAAGCCGAGCTCTGGACTCTTTGTCCTGTGTTCTCTCCCCACCTTGCTTCCTCCGGTCCCCACAGACCCATCTGCTGGCTTTCTTCTATCAGACAAGGGACGAGGGGTCACAACTGCCTCTGCGACTGCTGTAGGCAAAGCTTACTTTTGCCGTGGGCACAGGAGCCCTATGTCCTTCTGATATGAAAAGTAGGAAAGGACGAGCTCTAGACACTATGTTTTCTGATCTTCCCAACGACCCTGGGAGACAAGGACTCACACGTCCATTGTACAAATGAGGAAACAGAGCCTCTGAGAGGAGGATGAACACGAGCTGTCACCCGATAGAGTGGCGGAGCTGGTCTCGTTGGAAAGCCCACACTGTCCCTCCTTCTCTCCACGCCATTCCCAGAGGGATATTTCTATGGGGAAGCAGCGGAGCTTCCCCGCCCTCGACCAATTGGCCAGTGACCGCCCACCTCAGCTCAGGTGAGCCTTCTCGCACCTGCGGCAGATGTGCGATGCAGCCTGCCTCTCTCACAACGCTCCGAGAAGAGGTGTGTGTTGGCTTCTCTGTCCCATTCCAGAGACTGGCTGGGGGATCAATATTTGGGCTGGCACTTGATTCTCTCACTTTGGGTATTTGTCATGTTTTTTGTTCTGTTTTGATTTAGCTTTTCCTCTCAGAAGTTAGAACGGAACATTTCCAAACTCAGAAATGTACTCTTCACATCCTACTAGCCCTGCATGCCCAATAGCTGGTCTCGTTCTGTTCCAGAAAAGCTCAGCAGCTGACGTAACAATCCACGTAACAATCCAGCAGTATACACGGGCCAGGCTGTTGGCACCTGGGTCCTGGAGGTGAGGTGCCTCAGGATTCTCTGGCAGAGATGACTGCTTGTCCCCCAAAACCCATCCTCTTTGTCTTTTTTTAACAACAGCACTATCAAATCTTAACCGAGCCAGACACAAAAAGCCACATGTTGCATGATTCTTCTTATACAAAATATCCAGAATCGACAAATTCCTAGAGACAGAGATTAGACAGTGGTGATGGTTGCACAATTCTGTGAGTATACTAAAAACCACTGAGTTATACACCTTAAAAGGGTGATTGCTAAGGTATGTGAATTATAACTCAATAAAGAAATAAAAAGGAGATTTGGGTTCAACCCAAAAAGTTTTCCCAGAAACTTAGAGAAAAGGAAAAATTTAAGTAAAAGGTAGTTTAGTTTCCCAATGTCCTAAAAATCAGATCAAATATAGTAGTTAGCTTTTAAAGATATAAATAAAATTACAAATAGTCATGTTTTAAATTTGTGTCCTAAGTAATAACAAAAGTTGGAGAGGATGTGGAGAAAAAGGAACCCTCAGACACTGCTGGTGGGACTGCAAATTGGTACAGTCACTATGGAAAACAGTATGGAGGTTCCTCAAAAAACTAAGAATTGATCTACCATATGATCCAGCAATCCCTCTACTGGGTATTTACCTCGAAGATTTGAAAATCCATATCTGAAAAGATATTTGCACACCGATGTTCACAGCAGCATTATTCACGGTGGCCAGGACATGGAAGCAACTGAAGTGTCCTACAATAGGTGATTGGCTAAAGAAGCTGTGGTACATAGATACAATGGAATATGACTCAGCCATAAGAAGAGATGAAATACTGCCATTTGAGACAACGTGGATGGACCTTGAGATAATCATGCTAAGCGAAATAAGCCAAATAGAAAAAGTCGAAAACCACATGCTATCACTTAAATGTGGGATATAAACCTAAAAGCAAAAACCAAACAGAACAAACAAACAGAGACTCATGGACATGGACAATAGACTAGTGGTTACCAGAGGGGAGCGGGGAGGTAGACGGGGTAAAAGGGGTCAAATATGTGGTGACAGAAAGAAATCTAAGGGCGGTGAATACACAACGCAATATATATATGCTTTACTGCTAAATTGTACACCTGAAACTTACTGGATTTAGTTAATGTCTCCATAATAAAAAGTAAATAAATAAACAAACTTACGCAATGCTATATGTCAATTACATCTTAATAAAGCTGGAAAAAATAAGTTATTAGGATTAAGAAAAAATAAAAATAAAATAAATTTGTGCGCTATAAGAACATGAAAATTAGAATTTTTAAATAACTTGATCTGATTATCAAATTAGTGCCTGGTTATCTTCGAAGTTTTAAGTAGAAAGTCATAGAAGAAAATGATGAACATTCCTGTTTTTATGCCTCTCTCCATCCTCCACGAAAGGCAGGTGGGGGTTGGGGGTGGGCGTTAGCTTTTACCCGCAAAGCCCACCCTGCGGAAGACCTTGCACCTGGACCCCCCAGCTCCACTGAAGCTGCCCGAACATTAGCATCAAGGCCAATGCGACTAGACCGTCCTAGTACACGGATCTCATAAGAGCACCATCATTTTCAAGTCTTCCAGCTGCCTCAAGTTTCCCTCCTATGTAAGTCCTAGATTTGGGGTAAAACTGGTCTTTCCCTTAATCGAAGGGAAGAACCTTTGGCACGTAAAACGGTGCTAAAAATACGAGGAGAACAGAGATAGAAGAGAAACCCAACTTCCATCAAAACCACAGTCCTCACGTCAAAATTTCCCATCAACCACGGGTGACCGTTTCTGCCTAGAGCGCCAAACAAGCTTCGAAGTTCAGGTTCACTTTAAGTTGACCATCCTATTTTCTAGTACAATTTGGCGACAACCAAAGTCCTTGATAGAAGTCGAGGCGCGGAAAAAGTCGGAAATATGTTGAAATAGAGGGGGGATAAAGGAAACTTACAAAACGCAGACAGACTCCAGTTCAAATTTTATTTGCATACAAAAATATATTATAATGGGAAAAGCATATCACTGTTTCCAACTATATATAATTAATTACAAATATTTTTATAAAAGCACTTTAAATTACAGGAAAGCTGGATTGGAAGTGAAAATACCATATTAGCACGGGTGGTCTGTTCTAATGTGCTGCAAGCAGGTGAACGAAGTCAGTTTCACTGTCGAAATTGCCCAGAGATGAGCCCGTGCTGGCTTGAGGACGAGTCTGAGAACAGCCTGCTGGTAGGTGAGGGCTCATCTCTATCTCCTGGGGCAGCAGATTCTGTAGCTGATTTTACCAGGTCCTCGAGCTTTCTGCCGCTTCTCTTTTAGGATGAAAGGACCCAGAACCTCCCTTTTTCTTTTTTACATACCTGTAAATAGGATAGATAAGGTTATCCACTCGCAAAAGTTTACAATCCTTGTGCTTAGCCGGATCACACCGTCTCAGACAGGCATCAAAGCAACAAAGTTACCCACATAACGAACGTCTATCTGATTAACTGGAGTGACAGGGCAACCAGCTGCACTTTGCATGAAGTAGACAGGCTTGTTATATGGGTCTAATAGCAATTGTGTGGTGATTGCAACAATCTGTCAAAACAGGCTTGGGTCTTCTGATGTGGGATGGAGCGGCAAGTAAGAAAGTGGGCAATCAGACCCTCAGGGAGAGGACACACGAGGACTCCCCCGAACACTGAAGTTTGTCTGAAACAGTGATAATAACAGTTGCTTTTTCTTCTTTTTTTTCAATCACCGGCTTTGGATCCAATTTTTCAGGTTTTACCCAGCTATTTAGCAGAGGACAGCATAAAATACTATGGAACATCAACTAAATCAACTCTGTCACTCAAAATATAAGGGGTCAGGGCCAAGTTCTCCACGCCCGCTCTGTGACTGAACCAGGCCCCCCAAGAGCAGGGCTGCTGAAACTGTTACCTCGGAAGCTCTAGCCAGTCCTTCCTACCCCTGCAACCCTGTCCTCGTGAAACAGAGCGTGTAGACTGAGTCTCAGGGTCCCTTCTGCCAGACCCCCACCCCCAATGCAATTACGATCAGATTATCTCCAGCTCCTAACATGTCCAGTCACACAAAACCAGGTGTCATTAGTGTGATAGCCAAATGGGAGAGAAGGTCTCGCTTATGTAATCTAGGTCTTTCTGTACCTGGCGTGGGTCTTTGGTAGCAAGGTGTCCCCAAGACAATTTTCTCTTTGGGGACCCAACCCTAGAGAAGTAGGACCTCACCAAGCCCCTCGGATCCAACCTGGGAAAACGTCCCCAGCCCATGGGATGGAACCCTCCGGCGTGTCAGCTCTAAGCTCGCGTGGTCCCCCAGCCCACTTCTGCGAAAGGCCTGGCAGGACATCGGGGTGGCCCAGCTCCGGCCTCACTGCGCCCCCTTCCTCTCCACTTCTCAGACGAAACCCCGTTGTTTGCTAGCGGCCTGCTCCCCCGTTTGGGAAGGCACGCGGTCTACTTTAAAGCAAGCTTATCCTCGGAATTTCCTTCTGAGCCACTAGGGTCCTGCTCGGGAACCTAAAGAGACATTAGGATGTAATTTCCTGCCCCCGGACAAGTTGGTAAACATTACAGCACTTTATCAGAGGTGTTGGTTAGTTTTCTGTTTGCTTTTTTTTTTTTGATACCGGGCATGTACTCACTTGCTAAGGTTCTGTCCAGATCAGCAATAAAATCCTCGAGCTCTTTCGTGTCTCCTAGTTTGGCTGAAAAAAAAAAAAACAAGAGTCGGAGTTCAATCTCCCCATGTCAAAGACAGCTGACTACTCCCACGTTTTTCCAGAATTGTGTGACCGCTTTGCATCTCTCTGTCTCAGAGATGTTAGTGAAAAGGATCTTGTGCCAACCCTAAGCGTCTGCTCCGACGTTTACTTACGGTCGACTCCAACACTCATTCTGAAGATCGGCCTAAGTGTTTCTTTCTTGTTTTTTTTTCAGTTTGTCATTGCCCCCCACCCCCCACCCCCAAATCCCACCCTCACCACTCCCACCCCCCCACCCCCCACCCCTCCTACACCCACCCCAGCAACCTAGAATCTCCCTTCGGAGCCTTACAGGTCTGGGGAGGAGGGAGCGGGGTGTGAGGGACAAGGCAGTAAGACTAACAGTTTCGGTTTTCTGACTGTGGGATTTGAGGTGTGGCCCCGCGGCCCTGCGCGTGGACACCCAGCTCCTGTCATTCCTGCCCCACTTCTCCCTGACCTTTTCTTGTTAGTGCTGTCACCTCAGCACGATCCTTCGGCCCTCAGAGTCCCCCGGTATGAAATGAACAGGAGCCACTGGTCCTTGTCAAAGTGGTGCAGGGAGGTGACCTGAGGCTCCTCTCAGTCCCTCTAAGCGACATCACGAGGTAACTAACGTGTCCTTATCCTGATTTTGTTCCTTCTGCATCCTGGGTATATCTTACTTTTTTTCTGTAGAACTCATCATTTGTGCCTTCTCTGAAAGGCACTACTGGATATTTGTATAAATGAACCCCTGCTGGCTACAAATGGCTCATTGTTCTTAGTGTTTAAAGTCAACTTGCCAGCTAGAGCCTCTTCCCCTTAATGCCTACCTCTGAGGATCAGGTAGCAGATCTGGGCATGTTTTAAGCCTCTTTCTGGACTGCTCTGTCTCTCTGAATTCAACGGGCCCGTTACAGAGGGACAATGGCAGAGTCCCCAGTGGCTGCTTACATTGCTATGTTGGGAGGAGAATTTTAAAAGGTCTCTTTTGAAAGCGAGGGAAATTCTGTCTTAGTGCCAGAGAGAGAAAAGTGAATGACTCTTCATATTTCTTTTTTAACTATGTTCCATTTTTACAGTCTGCAACTATTTTCAGCAAGTATGTTTCTTAAGGAAAAAAAAAAACCTTTTGTTTTCAAAAGGGCCCTTGTTTACAATAATAAGAACATTCAGCTCTCTAGCTGGAGACACTTTCTAGTTCCAAAAGATGAGAAACTGCTTACGCATCTTTAAAAACATTTTAGGTCGGTTAATATCATAGTAGGGATGGGCTGGGGCTGCTATTTCGAATCATGTTCGATCGCTGCTTGTCTCATAATGACGACCCCATTTAATCGCTAAATCGGTCATCTGCAAGCATTGGTTAAAGAGTTAACGCGTTAAAAAGAATCCAGCTTTCTGCAAAGCCTGACTGCTGAGTTTTACATTCTAGAACCAGCCGGTCTTGGAGAGAGGGCCCTGTCATCTGGCACAGGGCCGACCACAGTGCCAGAGGAGAGAAAGCAGAGCCCAGAGCCCACGAGCTGTCTTTGTCCCTGTGAATTTAGTTTCCTGTCCCCCCACCCCAATGTTCTGATGTCATTCTCACACTGATCAAAATCCTGAGAAATCCCACTTCCCACGGGACTGTGCTAAGAGATTGGTCTTACCTATCTGCTCTGCGCATTTGGGAAAGATTGCTGAGGGCCGATGGGGAAATAGAGCAGAGGCCAGGAAGGAGAGACTAAGGCAGCAAAAAAGCTCCGGCCCAACTGATGGACTCACCTTTCCGCGGAGTGACAGGCCCGGTCGGCAGAGCCGAGGGGGCAGCTGTTGGAGAATTCAGTTTTTCATCACTGAAGCTGAAGCTGTCCCTGGACAGCGAGTCCGCACCTTTCAGCAAAGAAAACGTTAACTCGTGAGGAATGGTTTTCAGTCCATAGTCTGTTGATAACTAACAGTTGGTCTCCGAAAGGAGCAAAAGGTATAAATCTATAAAGTTTAAAAAAAAAAAAAGTTGACATCCAGATTTTATATTTACGCCCCAAAATGATTTAGGCAGGAGAGTGTGCCCGTGAGTGTGTGTGAGTGTGTGTCTCCGGTCGGGCACACACACCAAAGGCCCTTGCTCCCTGAAAAAGGCGGGTGTGACGGGGTCACCACCAGCAGACCCTCCTCCTCTGCAGCACCCAGGAGCCCACCGCCCAGGGCTGACCGACGGCCAAGCCAGCGCTTGGCTGATGGGGTGGGGGTGGCTTGGGAACTTAGACATGAGAAATCCTCTTGCCTAAGAAATGTCTTTTTTGCCCTCTGAAGCCCCTACAAGACAAACACAGGTGAGATCTTATGACTTAATAACCCTCCCTGCCTGTTCAAGCATCTTCGTCAGTTTTCCTGAGAGCTTGCCCTCGGAGGATGAGCTAGAGGGTCAGAGATGAAGGTTTCTTCTCCTGGGGCTTGTCTATTTCAGACGGACCAAGCGATTTCATGGCTCTCTCTATTGTCATCCCCTCACAGAGCACACCAACAGCAAGGCAAGGTACCAGAGGCAGGACTGCATGGGAGCTTGAGGGAAGCAGCTCAGCTACCCAGTATTTGGGTACTCTCGAGCAAGACAGTATCTCTGGGCCTCAGCTCGCCCATCAATAAAATGGGAAGGTGGTCTAAATAAGCTTAAAGTCACCTCCAGCTCTGAAGTACTGAGATTCTGTTTCTCTAAGTCTCGTCAAGAGGCGGGCCAGCGGGGGGGCCGGGGGCGGGAGTGGGGGGGCAACCAACCCCCAGCCGCCCCAGCCATGTGCCTGTGTCACGGAAAGGACCTGCTGGCTGAGCCGCACCAACTCAGAGGGCTCCGAGGCAGAGCAGGCAACGGAAGCAGGATGTGGCCGCTGAGGTCACAAGGGAACAGTCTTCCTGGTTAAAACAAAACACAAAGCCAGCCACAGTTGTCACAGAGATGAGCTCGGGAAAGGCTTGTCAGGTGAAAGAGGGCAGCTGAATCAGGGTGGCCTGGCCAGGCCCCACTCCTGCTGGAGAATCGCTCCCTGAATCCAATTACCTCCAGCTCAGGAAGAGGCAAAAACATCCTTCTCTGGTCCCCTTAACTCAAACTGAACAGGACTAAGTTACAAAAAATATGCCCAGAATCAAAAGGGATTTCAGAATCAAAAGAAGTTTTTGGTCCCAAGAAAATTGATCTTCATCCCAAAAAGGTGTTACAAGCCCTCAGGCACCTCACCTGGCTCCTTTTCTTCCCACCCTCCTCTGCCAGGTGGCCCCAGAGCCATCTCGTCTTCGTGGCCTACCTGTCCACCCAACCTGTCCACTTTTCCACACACGCCCAACCCTCACAATGTTTTCTTCCTTCGAAGGTCCAGCCAAGGTCACCTAAAAGGACCACGTCATTTTTCAGGACTTTGACGCTGAACACCTACTGATCCAAAACGCTGAACCTCTCACGTTTCTCCCCAAATACGCTCCTCGGAATACTGGTCCTTTGAAAAGAAGCAGTGTGGGATCGACTAAATCCGGAAAACACTGAGCACCTCTACTGTGTGATCCTGCTTTAACGTCCCTGAGAAGTTTGTGATGAAGAAACCACTTTAGCCCTACAGCCCAAGTTTACATGGCCATGGGACACTTTTTCTGTGGCACCCCTGTAAATATTTCTCAGGACGCTTGTATTCAATGGAACGTGACTTGGGACATTCCCTCTGCTTGCCTTGTCAGCTGAGCCCACCTCTAGAGCCATCTGGGTCTTCTCAAGGGAAAGCCTTTTCCCCTAGACAGCAGAGCGTTACCATTTGTCACCACGCAACAGGCAGGAGGATTGCCACCAATTTGTGGGGGAAAGATGAGGTAAGACTTAGAGGCAGGAAAACCACAGAGCACCCCGGGAGCCAGGCCTCATGCCCAGATTCCTGAGCTAGAAGGAAGGAGAACAAGGCCTTTGGCACATTATCTCTGGCTCTGAAGCACACCCAAGAGCATCAGCCCTGTATCTGGCCCAGAGATTCGTTGGCCCAGGTCTCAGTGGGCACACCTCTGGTCTCTATCTCCCAGGAGCAAGTGGCCTTGGAGAGCCAGTTTCTCCACGCCTACTGCACCCCACCCTGCAGCACAGGCCCTCACCCTGACTTGGCCTCCATCTCTACCCTACGCCAACTCTCTCGCGATGGTGCGTCCACGTACACTCACTGTTGGGAGGGGGACACACACACACACACACACACACACTCGCTCACATTCCGGCTCCTCGCGACACCTTGACACCTCTTTCTGTGAGTTTCTGTGTACAGTCTGGGCCGGACTTGACTCCAGGCTCCAAAACATTGAACCATCAAAAGGAAATGAACCCCGAGCATCCTCAAACCGAATCTGCTCACAGTTTGGTCCCACCCCGGGGTTATATTCTGCACGTATCATTCATGGAAAAGATGACAAGGACAACCTCAAGAGCCCCAGAGGTACTCTGGGCCCAGCGGAAGCTGCCACCATAAAGATGTGTGGGATAAGGGGCCATGTGAAAGCTGTGTGACCCTGTGCAAGTCACTTCACCTCTGAGCCTTAGGAGAATAATAACTTAGGCACTCCGTGTCTGACACCTATGATTTTCATAATTTTATTCTAAAGTTCCTGGCAGAATGGAGGATGGAGTGCCCAGCAGGGCAAGGGTCACCACAGAGAGTAAGAAGCAAAGTTCTGGGCCCAGCCTTCCTCCTCTTCAGATAGTAGCTGAATTTCTTAAGAGAAGTATCCACAGAGGCACCTAGAACAAACCTTTTAAGAACGAGCCACTGACAAAGAGGCACCCCAAGCCCCAGACCTCTCCTTGCCCTTTATCAAATAAAATTTCATTCCACAGACTTTGCTCAAGCAGCGCAGTGACCAGGATCTCACGAGAGACGTGGTGAATTAAAAGGTAAGCAAAGCGAAGCCTGACTTCCTGTTCTTTTCACTCCCCTGGAACTCTATTCCTTGCAAAATAACAGCCAGTTAGTCTGAGAAAATGACAGCAATGTGTCCCTGGCTGATAGCATATTAATGTATTACCACCCCGCCCCAATATCAGGCGCTGTTATTATTAATAGGGGCTCGAGAGACACGTAACAGTGACCTCGGGAGTCTTGGCAGGTGGCAAGAGTAGATATTTTAAGGCCTCACGTCTACTTCAACCAGCTCTGAAGCCCATCTCACGAGCAACTCGAAGCCCCATTGGAAACGTCTTGGCAAGTCGACTTAGAGCTCTGAAGCCAAGAACCTCAAATTCGGGGACCGGGATCTCTAAGACACCATCAGAGGCAACGTAAGCCTCTGATTAAATACACAGACGTCCAACTTGAGAGCACCAACAGAGCTTGCGAAACTCGGCTGCAAAACAGAGGCCTGGTTAAAAGGCAGACGTGCCTTTTTAGTTTGGGGGCGGGGAGGGCGCCAATTGAGGGTTAGCAGCGACATGCACGTCCAGAGGGAAGTACAACCACAGGCAGAGAACCTTGCCCAGAGCGTCTGCAAATATAGAACAATCCCACACGTTGAAGCAGGCAAACTATAGTAATTAACTGAGAAAGAGAAGCTTGGACCTGGTTCCCCTTTGCCGGGGGAAGGCGGGAGGGGCGCATCTCCTTCTCAACACCTAACGTCCCACAGCCTTGCCGAAAGCAGGACGGGATGAGAAAGAGGCCCTTCCTCGGTTTCACCGCTGTCCTACCAGCCTCCCTCTAAATCCACCGGGCCCCTCTAGACACCTCTCCACGTGGCCAGACTGAGACCTGTCAGCCACCTGGAATTTCTACCACAGCATCCCGGCAACCTGGGGGCGCCTAAGTCCTCATACTCTGAAGCTCGAACGAGGTCAAGTTCTGGTCTCAGGGGCTCCCGTGCCAGATCAGCCGATATGCTACCTGTCATGCTGGCACTCAGGGTCCATAAGGTCCCCTGTCCCAGGGCCAAGCCGGAATAGGCCAGGCAAAGATATACAGACATTCTAGGTCTTGCCCATGCTAAAGAAGCTAGTTCCTCATCCCTCAAAATAGCCCTACGATATCTAAGCCCTGGCAAACACAGTAGACTTCAGATTTGATACACATTTGAGAAGTCATCATGTGCATTTACAGTTTTGGAAATACTGAGAGACAACAATATATTTTTAAAAATAAGTTCGAACCAAAGATGCTTGTTTACCAGTCCAGAAGCACTTCTGAGGATCAAGTTGGAAGCACACTGCCCTTTTACTGCTGCAGTTAAAGCCACCCCCTCTCCGTGCCTGCGATCACCTGTCAGAACCCCAGTAGCAGAAGGGAACAAGCCTTCGACCACCACACTTGAAGGAGAAGTCATCTTGCCATCGTTATTCTGGTCCCCTTCATGGCTCAGGAGGACTCACTGAAAGTGGGGACAGGAAGGAGTATTTCCTTATGAAATATCCGTTCTTCTCTCCTACCCAGGTAACTTGTATCTTTGGGCGGAAGAAGAAATGTCTATTTTTCTCCTTTAGATGCAAGTAACCTATGGTTTTTTTGTTTTTTTTTTAGTGAAAAAGGGAAGGGTTCTTCAAAACACAGGAATGCAGTGGGTACATCTTCAGAGCAATACAGCTATAAAAGTTAAGTGAAAACCAAGGGAACCTTGGTTTAGAATTTCGTGTTTCATTTTCATGCAAGATGCTGGCTCAAATGTACCCGATCTGTGTGATATAGCATGGTATATGTATTTAGACGGTTCCTCAAAAACATTAAACAGAGTGAATATTTTCTTCCAATCATGAGCTTAAGGCTGTTTCTAACTGCACTATTAAATAGCATCCTTTCAATTTTACAGCTAGAGAAGCTGAGGCCCACTCATGGCCCAAGGCCCTGGCAGAGCTCAGCCCGGGCTCCCCCTACCTGCCCAGACGACCACCGTCTTGAAGAGACTCCTTCAAACAACCACCATTGATCTGGGTCCAATGGGACTTCAAGTCTATTCCTGGGGACCTAGTTCCCATTCCAGCCAACCGTCCCTGGTGACGTAGCAAGGGTTTAAAGAGAGCCCGTGTGGTTCTGCTCATCTATCAGGAAAATGGAGACAATGGTGCCTACCTTATAGGACTGTGGCAGGGACCGTGTGAGGGAACACATTTAAAGCACAGCAAAGAGATCACTCACAGTAAGAGCAAATAAATAATCTTGGTAATCGCAGCATGGGCTTGGCAAAAGTGACCTGCTCTTATTTTCATTATCCTGGTGTGTCTCCCTTTTAGTGGACTAAATTCAGTAGGATCGACCTTTTGCAAACATTCTCTGCCACAGAGAAGCATTAAACAGACAGATGAGTATAACAAATGTTTGTGTTCAATCCTTGGCAGCAATTAAGATACACATATTACCCTTCCTTAAGAAATTACTATTTAGCTACACACTGCTTCTGCCAAGACTATTTCTAATCAGTCTGCGGAGGACAAACTACTCGTTTATAGAAAAGGCTAATGTCGTCGGAGCCTGCTTTACACCCCTGCATGACTTCTCTAACCACCAAACTCAAGGTTAAACGGTTGACAACAAAAGCAGAAAGCAAAACACACACACATCTCCTAAGAAAAACTCCAGACTATTTTCCAAGTATCTCCCCAGAACCATTAAGAATGTGTCTCGCGTGTCTTTGCTGTGAGCCCCCTGAGAACAGCCCCCAGATCTGAAACGCTGTCCAGAGGGAGGTGCGGTCACCCATGAATGGGCCAGCTGGGACAGGAGTCTAGCCAAATGCGGCTGTGGTTCAGAAAGGAACTGCTCTTTGCAATAGAGCAGCATTGGACAGGCGGTGCCAGCTTTCTTTCCCATGGGGGAGAGAATCTGCCCTTGATGAATCACTTGCTCTATGCCCTAGCAGAAGACAGACTTCAATTTGGCCACAGATATTGAGACAAAAGTTCAAAAATTTTTAGACTTCCCTTTGAAATTGAAAATAAGCCGTCTGGCCATTAGCAACAAAATCCAAAAATACAAAACGGAAAATTAACAGCACGGTATTCCATTCCCTTTCACCTTAAAGCTGCAATTAGATCTAACCCTTGGGCAGCGCTGCCCAAAATAGCCGAGCCGGAATTCAGGTTTCTGACTCAGACCCTACACAGGGTGGCAAGTGTCCTTTACCCCTTTTCAGGAAGACGGCCAATGTTTAAGTCTAGGGACTGAATCTTTGCGGTGTGGCAAGGAAGAGCTTCAGATTTCAAAAAAAGACATCACAGGGAAAAGCCATTGTTTTTACCTCCAGTGTCAAGGGCAGCAAAGGGAGCAATGTTCCTGCTTGTAACCCACCTAGGGAGTGAAGCCTCAAGAGTAACCCAGAATTATTTCAAATTCACTTGGGAATATAACAAGCAATCCACGATTTGAAAACCAACAATCATGTAATACTGAAAAGTCACCAGATTTGCTGTTTGACACCTAAACAGATATATCCATAATCCTTACAGGGCATTTGAGTTCCTGGGAAAAAAGCTGTCTCTCTTCTGAGATAGTACAGGAGGGAGAGACCTTGGAAGTCAACATCCCTGTGGCCAATCTGCTCTCTGGCTCCCCGTCCGGCCTGAGTGGGGAGTGGAAGCCAGTCTGCCCCCTGATGGCCTGCGGGAAGGGAGAGAGACTCTTGCTAAAACACTTGACAGCAGTGCCAGGGTTCTTTAAAAGCCCTCTGCGATGGAGTGGCAAGTCTGGGAGCTCAGGGCCAAACGAAAGTGCAAGAAGTTATTTCAAAAATCCCAAGAACAGCAGCTTATGAAACCGTTCCTGGTTTCACAAATATTTCGGTATTGTGCCCCCCCCACCATGTTCCCTCCCACCCCCATTCCTGTGGCACTTGCTCCATATCCTCTGAAAAGGCATTGCTGAGAGGGGAGAGGAGAGGAGGGGAGGGGAGGAGAGGGGACTGTGGCTTAGGTCCCAGGAGTCGTCTGGCTGAGCCAGAGCAAGCAGCTTACACGCTCCTGCCACGTGACACCTGCAGGCGGCAGGTGGACCCGCTTATCCCTCAGGAGCCTTCCCAAGAATATGCCGCCCTAGGGTCTTGCCCCGACAAGCCTACCTCGCTGGAGGCAACTCTCCCAGTGTCCTAGAGGGGGCGATAAGCTTTAGGGTCTTTTTTTTTTTTTTGCATTTTATTTTATTATTAGTTTCCAGTATACAGTACGTTGGTTAGACGTTCATACAGTTCATGAAGCGACCCCATCCGACTCTACACGCAGCCACTACAGTGCAGCTGACCGCGTTCCCCACGCCTGTGCTCCTCGGAGCGCCGGGTCCTGGGAGTCCCCAGGGCTGCGGTCCCCTCCCCGGGTGCGGCCGCACTTACTCTCCGAGTCGCTGAGGCCGCTGCTGTCGCTGACGCTGGCGCTGCTCCGCCGCTTCATGCGCTCCAGGTGCTCCTCGTAGTGGAAGTGGCGCTGGCGGAAAGGCGACGCGAAGTCGGCCAGCACCGCGTCGAACTCGCTCAGCGCGTCCGTCAGGTCCCCGGGGGCCGCCGAGTCCAAAGCTGGGGCTGGGGACACGGGCCGTGGGCTCAGGCGACGGGTCCCGGAGGGGCTGCCACCACCCCTGAGCACAGCTAACATTGGCCGCGCGCTGGCCAAGTGACAGCCACGTGGTCGCGGCCGGCTGCTTCCCTTTGGGGACCCTAACCCCCGACCCCCCGGAGCGTGGGCTGTTACCGAGCCCACTTCAGACCAGGACGCGGAGCCTCCG